GGTGAGCTGATGTCCGTGTTCGTGAGGAGTCCATTGGTGGTGCAGATGGTGAGCTGATGTATGTGTTCGTGAGGAGTCCCTTGGTGGTGCAGATGGTGAATGCGCTCAGCTGCTAACCAAAAGGCTAGCAGTTTGAGTTCACCCGAAGGAAGAAAGGCCTGACAGTCTACTTTCAAACAGCCTTGAAAACCCAATGGAGCATAGTTCTACTCTGACATACATCGAGTCACCAGGAGTCAGAGTCAACTTAATGGCAACTGGTTATATGTTCATTATCTTGATTGTGGTGATGGTTTCACAGATATATAGATGTGTCAAAAGTCATCAAATTGTTTGCTTTAAACTTGCACAGTTTATAGTATGTCAAATACATCTCCATAATGCTGTTAAAAAGTAAACCTGAGATTCTGAGTTGCAAAATTGAGGGGTGGTACTTACCCAACTCCTAGCTGGTAAAAGTTCCCTTGTATCCAATTGATTATCAGTATATGACAGCTATATTTTGTAAAAGTATTGCTGACAATGGCAAGTGCTTTGGGTATTTGTCATCTTAAAATGCAGTAGGTTTTTGCCACTGCAGTGCTATGGGGAAAGAATGGACTTTGCAATAAATAGTGCTGGATCAAGTGGAATATTGATATGAAAAAATGAAACTTGACTTCTGTGTCACAATTTACAAAAGGCTCAATTCTACATGGATCATAGGTGAAACCTAAAACAGTAAGTCTTCTAGAAGTTAACATAGAATATTTTCATGCCTTTGTGTAGGAAGAGGTTTTTAAACCAGATCAAAAAAGTGGCAACAACAAAGAAAAAAAAAGTTAAACTGGATTTCATTTAAAGTAAGAACTTCTTTTCATCAAGAAATCATTAAGAAAAAGCAGAAAACAGAAATGCTTTAGTCCCATAAAGAAGAGTGGAAGCAAGGTCAATTTCAATAGCAAGCGCTGGTTTCCCATGGCCAACGCAGGGCAGGTGTTCTGCACACACCCTTTGTGTGCCACAGGTGAAGGACCCATTCCTTCCTTACCGTGAACAGATAAAGAAATGAGGCTGGCAAAATGCCATATGGTGCCCATGCATGAGCAGAACAGAGAAGTCACTGTGTACCCAGAACAGGGAGGGAATGTCCCTGATAAGGAGAAGAAACGGAGAAAGAGAGAAACTCTGTCCCCAGCCTCCATTAACAAGGAATGTTCTGGGCCAAGGCTTCTGATTAGGCAGCCCAGATGGAAGACACAGGGACTGCAACAGACAGTTCAACAATATCCATTTGTCAAAGGTCCCATATCTAGCATATGTAAAGATCACCTACAACTCAATAACATGAACTGACCCATAAAAAAGTAGACATGAACCAGGCTGGAACAAACAACTCACAAAAGAGGATGTCCAAATGGCTAAGAATATGAATAGGTTCTCTTATCTCAGTGGGTATTGAGGAAATGCATTGGTATATGTTTAAATTTTTAAAGTCAACAGTCCAAATGTTGACAAAGTTGTTGTAGACGTAACAGCTGGCACTTTCATGCACTCTTGGTGGGAATATTTGGAACAACCCTTTTATAGAAATGTTTGCAGTATTTAGTAAAGCTGAGCATAACATATATACGACTCAGCAGTTCTACACAACAGAAACATGTACATTTGTGCACCAAAAGAAATGGACAAGAATTTCATAATAGTATGATTTGTAATAGTTCAAAACCGTTCATCAATGAATGAATGAATAAGTAAAATGTGGTATATTTATGCAAGATTTACATCAATGAAAATGAATAAACTACTTTTCTACTTGGTAACATGGAAGGATGAACATAATGCTGAGAGAATAAAGCCAGGCATCACAGTACATATCGTATGATTCCATTTATATAGAATTCAAAAATAAGCAAATTTAACCTGAGGTGATGAAGGTCAGAGGAGTGATCACCTTTGGGGGCTTTTTGACTAGAGGAACATGAGGTGATGGTTCTAAGGGGCTGGTAGTGCGCTGTGTCTTGATCTGGGTTGTTACACTGTTGTGTTCACTGTGTATTTGCTTGCTTTCCTGTTTGTATTATACTTTATTAAAAAATTTAATTTTTAAAAAATATAATAGCTTTTGAGAAAGATCATGAAAATCTTGCCAACCTGACCTCAAATTGATTTTAATTTGTGTTTCTCTGATGAGTAATGATGCTAAGCATCTTTTTTTATGGGTTTCTTTGTCTTTTGTGAACTATTTGTTAACATCTTTTGCCTGTTTTTTTAGTTTTTATTATTATCTGTAGGAGTTCTTTATATATTCTGGATGTAAGTTCTTTGTCAGATAAATGTATTACACAGATTTTCTCCCAGGCTATGACTTAATCACAATTTAGAAACAGACGATTTTACTTTTGATGAAGTCCTGTTTGTCAGTTTACATTTTACAGTACGTGCTTTTTGTATCCTCTCTAAGTAATCTTTGTCTATCCCAAGGTTGTAACTTAAATGATAAATAGGAAAAGCTGCCTTCAGTATATCTGAAAATATAAATTTGGAAGACTTGTATACATTGTCATACGGAATCAGCATTCAGTTTACATTAACCAGTTCTTCCCCAATTCAATTTATGACAGGGAGATGCCCACCTTTTTGTAGGCTAGTTGAGATTCAAATGTTTAAGTTTCTTCAGTGGAATGTTTCAGGAGTGGCCAAACTCTCTGTAAAGGGCCAAATAGGAAATATTTTAGTCTTTGTGGGCCACGTAATATTCCTGTTGGACATGTGTTGTTGTTTTTTTTCCAACTCTTTAAAGATGAAAAAACCATGGTTAGCTCACACGCCTTTCACAAACAGGACATGGGCTGGATGTGACCCATAGGCATAGTTTTTCAAGCCCTAGTTTCTAACTGGGAAAATCTGCTCTCTGGCAGTAGGGCAGATAGATGGGAAATGACGGCATTTCGAGTTCAGGTCTGAATGATTTTTATTTATTGATTTAGTGGTTAATTGATTTGGAGACCATAGACTGAAAAGTGTGCATTGAATAAATGAGCAGCAAGCCCAAAACCCTAGTATTTACTAAGTTTAAAATCATTAATAAAAATAAAAAGCTACATTTCAGTTATACGTGGTGCCTTACTTTGCAGTCCATGTGACCGCCCTCGTGTGATTGAGTCTCTGAGAGGAATTGAAGTGGTCGATGTTGCTGCAGGCGGAGCCCACAGCGCATGCGTCACGGTGGCTGGGGACCTCTACACATGGGGCAAAGGCCGATACGGCCGCTTGGGGCACAGTGACAGTGAAGACCAGCTGAAGCCAAAGCTGGTAAGTGACAGCCCTGTGCTTAGAGAGCCAGAGCAGCTGCCCTGCTCTGCACTGTTGGAGCGGTATGTATGTGTTTGTGCTGTTGGTGGAGAGGGAGGAGGCTTCTCATTTTATTAAAAATTAACAATATTTTCTGTTAACAGTGGATTAACAATAACAAAAGCACAAACAGCAGAAGATTAAATAAATGAGACCTCATAAAAATTAAAAACTTTTGTTCATCAAAAGACTTTACCAAATAAGTGAAAAGTTAAGCAACTTGACTAGGAGAATATCTTTGGAAACCATAAATCTGACAAGAATCCAACAACCAAAATATATATAAAACTTCAGCAGCTTAACAACAAAAAGACAACCCAATCATAAAATGGGCAAAGGACTTGAATAGCTATTTCACCAAAGAAGATATTCAAATGGCCACCAAGCACATGAAAAGATACTCAGTGTCATATAGGCATCAGAGAGATGCAAATCCACAGTGAGATACCATTTCACTTCCACTAGGATAAAAAAAAAAAAAAAAAAACCTGTTGCTATCGAGAACGTTCGGACTCATAGCGACCCTGTAGGACAGAGTAGAACTGTCCCATAGGGTTTCCAAGGAGCACCTGGTGGATTTGAACTGCCGACCTTTTGGTTAGCAGCTGTAGCTCTTAACCACTACACCACCAGGGTTTCCATCCCACTAGGATGGCTAAGATTAAAAAAAAAAAAAACAAAGTAACAAATGTTGGCTAGGATGTGGGAAGGTTGGAACCCTCACCCATTGCTGGTAGGAATGGAAAATGGAAAATAGTGTGGTGGTTTTTCAAAAAACTAAAAATAGAACTACCATATGACCCAGCAGTTCCACTCTTAGGTATATACCCAAAAGACTTGAAAGCAGAGACTTATACACCAATGTTCATTGCAGCACTATTTCAACAGCCAAAAGGTGGAAACAACCTGAATGCCCATCTACAGAAGAATGGATAGACAAAATGTGGTACATGCATACAGTGGAGTACTACTCAGCCAGTAGGAGAAATGAAGTCTTGATATGTGCAACAGTATGGATGAAGTTGGAGGGCATTATGCTGAGTGAAATAAGTCAATTACAAAAGGACAAATATTGTATGACCTCACATAAAAAGACAAGAAAAGGCAAATGTACAGATAACAAAGTTTATTAATGGTTACCAGGTGGTACAGTAATTAAGGGCTCAACTTCTAGCAGCTCCTTGGGATCCCTATGGGACAGTTCTTCTCTGTACTGTAGGGTCACTGTGAGTCCAAATCGACTGAGGCAACGGAGTTAGAGGCAAGAGGGAGGGGAAAGGGGGGTTAATGGTGATGGAAATAGCACACTGGTTAAGGGTAGGGTTGCACAGCTGATTATTGTAATTGCTGTCAATAAGTTGTACACCTGCAAAAATTGTGTGATAGACATATTTATAGCAATGACAAAACAAAAAAAAAGTGGCTGCTGAAGCTGCTTATGTAACCCAAAGTCTTCTTGGGATTTGGTTCCTTGGTGTAGAGGTTTAGGGTCCTGATTTCATTTGACATCCCAGTTAATTGGCCTAATAACATATTTAGTGCTTCTGTTCTACCTCCTAGTTTGTTGCATACTGCCTGGGGTCTTAAAAGCTTACAAGCGGCTATCCAAGGCACAAGTGGTCTCTATTCACCTGGAACAACAGAGGAAGGAGCATCAGGAGTAGGAGGAGGATATTAAATGTTTGGCTAATTCCCTTCATGAACAACTGCCTCCTTTGCCATGGGACTGGAAGAATTGGGTGGTGCCCACTACCGTTACTGAACATCTTGATCAAAGATTCTATAGAAGAATCCTGATCAAAAGAGGGGAAATGTAGAACATAATTTCAAACCCTCATGGACTCCAGACTTCCTGGAGTTGTGAAGTTTGGATGAATCCCCGAAACTATTGCCCTGAGATCATTTTTAAGCCTTAAACCAAAAATATCCCCTGAAGTCTTCTTAAAACCAAACAATAGTTCAGCATAACTAGTAAAAAATGTCTGCCTTGAGCATTATGCTCTTTTAAGAACTATCTGTGGGATCAAATTGACAACAGCAACTTGAAAGATTAGATAGGAACCTTGAGGGCAATGAATTTATGTTAAAGAGGGGGAGCAACTCAGAAGAGGAGGGTGAGAATGGTTGTACAACTTGACGGGTGTAATCAGTGTCACTAAATGGTATGTGTGGATACTGTTGAATTGGTGGATGTTTGCTGTGTGTATTCTCAACAACAAAATAAATAAAAATTAAAGCAAAATTTGTTTTCTCTTTAGATGCTGTTTGGTTTACAGTTGATAGTCATAGCCTCATTATTTATAAGTTGTTTTGATTTTTGGTGGAAGTAAATACCATCTTGGCATGATTTCCATATGTCATTTAAACGGGATAGTATTTTAAATATCCTTTTTTTTATAGAAGTAAATATTACTTGGCATTGAGTTTGATATTTTGACTTCTAGAAGGCCCACTCTATTTTGGGTCAAAGGAATGAATAAGCCAGCTTGCGTAATGTACGATTGATTCATGGAGGATGCTGATGCCTGCCTTTGACAATTTAGGTATAGTTCAGTTAGATGAAGGCATTTTCTGTTTTTTCTTACAGGGTTATAAATATTACCTGTGTTTTTTGGAAAGTCTTAAAACAGGCATCCTCTTTAGGAAAAAAAAAAAAAGACTTGTGGAATGTTACAACCTTTCCCTTGGTAAACAGAAATGCCACCTTCTCTCTGTTGTGACTGATAACCAGGGCATTCCTCTTCTCTGCAGGTGGAGGCCCTGCAGGGCCACCGCGTGCTTGACATTGCCTGTGGCAGCGGCGATGCCCAGACCCTCTGCCTCACTGATGATGACTGTGTCTGGTCCTGGGGGGACGGGGACTATGGCAAGCTCGGCCGAGGAGGCAGCGATGGCTGTAAAGTGCCAATGAAGGTATTTGGTGTATACACAGCACTCTGTAATTCCCTGTGTGGGCCAGGGGATGGCCAGACCTTTCCGGGGTTCTCTGAGCACCTGGTGATGTGCAAACAAGCATCACCTTGGCCCCTCATGTGGCCAGGTGTTGTCATAGATGCCCCCCGAGGTGTGCAGAAGAGGACCTCTGCCCCTCTGGGTTGTCTGTCTCTTCTGGTTGCTTTTCAAGAGTATCTTAACTCCATCTTCACCTTCTTTGCAGAAGATATAATGGGTGATCACATAAAAAGTGAGTGAGGAGCCCATAGGCATTAAGATATTTTAAGTGATGTTTGTGCTCTCTTGAGGAATTTATGAAATCTAAAGTCTGTGGTCTTTTTAGTATGTGGACCTGTTTTGGGGGAAAAAATAACTAATCATTCATCACTGTCATCAGTTTATAGTAGAACACACACATCATGTGACAGAGTTATGGAATGTGGCAGTACTTGCTGACAAGATTACAGCTGGATTAGTGAGGAGACTGTCTCGTGGACATCACATGAGAAGCCAAGAAAGGAAGTTGAGGGTTTGCCTGGGTGTCTGGTAGACCTGGTCTGGCAGTCAGCTTTGTACTATTTGACTTTGGGAAAGTTTCTTAATTTATGTCAGGCTGCTTTGTGTTGTCATAAAATGGGGAGAATCATACCCTCTTCAGAGGATTAAGTTAGTAGATTTGTTCAAATCCCTTACTGCTCAGTGACTTCAGTAAGTGAACACTAAGTGGTACCAGGGACTTGGGAGTGTGCGTGGCATGAGAGAAAACTAAAGCGTGATCTCTCTCCACAGTCCCCGCTCTTCTTGGGGTGGTGGTTGTAGGTGTTGTCGAGCCAGTTCCAACTCATAGCAACCACATGTAACAGAGTAGAACTGCCCCACAGAGTTTTCTTGGCTGTAACCTTTATGGAAGCAGATCACCAGGTCTTTCTCCTTTAGAGCCAGTAGGTGAGTTTGAACAACTAACCTTCAGTTAGCAGCCAAGCTCTTAATCGTTTTCACCACCAGAGCTCCTTATTCGGGGTTACAGGACTGCAGATGCTGGGATAGAAAACCAGATGGCACATATCTAGGCATTGCTGGGCCTGAGCCTCCATAGCTTTTCCTCCTAGAGCTGAGCCAGCCAACATGGTAGGCACTGGCCACATGTGGCTACTTTAAGTTTAAATTAATTAAAATTAAATAACCTAAAATTCAATTCCTCGGCCATGCTAGCTACATTTCAAGTGTTCATTGGCCATACGTGGCTCATGGCAGCTGTGCTGGCTTAGTGCAGACGTAGAACAGTCCATCACTGCAGTGAGTGGTTTTGGCAGGTGCTACCTGGGACCAAAGCCTGGTGGAGAAGACTTGGCTCCAAATCATGCTGTATTTCCCTGCGCTCCCTGTGGCTGTGCCAGAAGGAGGCGCCCTCCTTCCTGCAGTCACCCTTCTGGCAGCTGCTGGAACCAGGGCCTCAGGGCTGCCTCCTTTGTTCTTATCACCTCTTGCTCTTTTTCCATTGCAGATGTATGGTATTTTAACCACATTTGGATTACCAAGGGTTTCTGCATTTTAAAAATTGTTGTAGGCCCTGTTATGCTACGGAAGGCTTTATACAAGGGCATTGCACCTTCAAGGGTTAGGATGGTTGGCATCGGGAAGGCATAGAGGGCATCATGTGCTCATAGCAGGGTAGGGACAAGGGGAGAACTAATTAAGCTTTAGTTAATTTAACTTAAATTGAAACATGAGAAATTAAGTATGAGAAACATCACAGAGGTGATGAGGAGCATGTGTGTTGTGTCAGGAGAATGATGATTAGGTGGAGTGGGCCCCAACTGAGACCCTGGGTGCTGGACTTGAAGGGCTTGTACCCATGAACGGGTGGGTGAACTAGAGAGATGAGTAGGGGGCATCTGGAGGCCAGGCCCTGGCCGCTCTACCCTGAGGGAGGGCTGGAGGGAGGGTGAGTAGAGCATAGTGGTGTTGGAGAACAGTACTACCAGCTTTCGAGAGAAATGATTGCAAACCTTGAGCAGTGAAATGTTAACATTTCCAGTGACGTGTGCTGGGTCACACTGCATGAAGGCGCACGACCCGTGGTGAATTGTCAGCATGATCTGTCCCCTGTTGTAAGCGAGGCTAACTGAGTCTCTCCCCTTCTAGATCGACTCTCTCACAGGCCTTGGTGTGGTCAAAGTGGAATGTGGCTCCCAGTTCTCTGTCGCACTCACCAAGTCGGGAGCGGTTTACACTTGGTATGAAGGGTTTTGCTTGTTTAATCCTACCAGAAACAGATTGTTAATTTGAAGTTCCTTTAGCCACGCTTTAGTAGCCTGGGAACACCACTTTGATGGCAGGCTGTGATTTATGTAATGTAGTACAGTGGTTGCACCAGGTGGGTGGATGGGGTGGTGCACAGAGCAGGCTTATGCTTCTGAGCACCCTGTCTCTTCTGTGTGCTAGGGGCAAAGGGGACTACCACAGGTTGGGCCATGGATCCGACGACCATGTTAGAAGACCTCGGCAGGTCCAAGGGCTGCAGGGAAAAAGAGTCATCGCCATTGCCACCGGCTCCCTGCACTGCGTGTGCTGCACAGAGGACGGTAGGTGGAGAGCCCAGTGTCACAGAGCAGAACATTTTAGGTAGGAGAGCACTCCTCAGGGAACGGTGTGTGCAGCTACAGAAAGAATGAGCTTATGATACATCGTGAGAATCCGTCTGCAGTGGGCAAGGTCTGGGCCCTCATGATCCTCACCCCTGGTGTTATACCTGCAAATATGTTCTGTTACGTGGCTGTGCAGAAAAGAGTTAACATACCCTTGCGGTTCTCAGAGAGGCCTGCTGGCAAGCTGGCACCTGGCTGATGTCTGGGAACTTGGGTCTCGGGGATTCCCTGCACTTCCTAACTGTTAGGAGTAGCTCACAGTGCCTAGATTGTACAAAAATGTGGTTTATGCTGAACACCTGCTTTCCTCCTGGGAGTCTAGACTCTTGGGACATGCTAGGCAGTGGGAGCCTACATGGCCAGTCCCAATAAAAACCCTGGCTACTGAGTCTCTGATGAGCTTCCCTGGTAGACAACATTTCACACAAGTTTTCACAACTTGTTTCTGGGGGAATTAAGCATGTCCTATGTGACTCACCGGGAGAGGACTCTGGAAGCTTGTACCTGGGCTTCCCCGGACTTCACCCCAGTGGGCTTTTCTCTTTGCTGTATCCTTTCTCTGTAATCATAGCTGTGAGTATGACCATATTGCTGAGTTCCATGAGTCCTCTTAGTGAATCATCGAAATTGAGGTGGTTCCCCCCCTCCACTCCCAACACAATGGCCAAAAGGACTTTGTAGAGGAATTAAGGTTGCTAATTAGCTGACCTTAAAATAGGGAGATTATCCTGGGTTATCAGGGTGGACCTAGTGTTACCACATGAATCCTTCAAAGCAGAAAAGGAAGGCAGAAGAGTCAGAGATGCAGCGGAAGAAGAGATGGGAGATCACCCAGATCTTGTCTTCTAAATACCATTCTTCTCTAAAGACACCAAGTGCTTTTGGGAAATGGCCAGTTCTAGGCTCAGGGCAGGGGAAGTACAAGATAAGCCTAGAACACCTTTTTGTGCCATAAAGCAGGCAGGTGTTCACTGTGTGATAGGGCTGTGTCAGAATGAGACAAAGCCAGCCACACTGGGCACAATTTGAGCATCAAAATAAAGAATAAATAATAGTAACAGATTATAGCCCATTGAATAAATTAGGAACTGTGATTTCCACACAGTTATAAACAAGTTAATAAATCAAAAGTTCAATGAGAAAAGAAATAGTTAAATAGTTTTGGATGCTTCCCCACAAAATACTTGTAATTACAAAGGGAAAGGAGGATATGGACAATGGAGAAGCTTGACAGATGCCACCTTCATCAAGTGATCAAAGTGATCACCATCAGTAATAGACAAAGAATAATTGCATTTCACCTTAGAAGAAGAGAAGTGTTGGTCAACAGAGGACGTCAAGAGTCCCAGGAAGGACACTGACCCCTTGGATGTTGTGATTAGAGTGTGTCCACATCTAGGTCACCCGCAAAGTTGACGTTCAGACAGTTGATCCTGAACACCACCTTGAAGGGCAGTGAATGATGATTATGATGGGAGGACTTTGGCGGTTGTGCACTCATTGGCTCTAGTGGACTGAATTTTACCATCCAAGTTCATGGTTTAAACTTCACTTCATCTAGGAGAAGTTTATACGTGGGGTGACAATGACGAGGGACAGCTGGGCGATGGGACCACAAATGCTATCCAGAGGCCGAGGTTGGTAGCTGCTCTTCAGGGTAAGAAGGTCAACCGCGTGGCTTGTGGCTCAGCACACACCCTTGCCTGGTCGACCAGCAAGCCCACCAGCACTGGGAAGCTGCCTGCACAGGTAGGTTCTGACTCACCCAGGCTGCCGGGCAGGAGTCTTGTGCCGGCCTGACCATGTGTCTAAGCTCCAAAAGCCATTTTAGTTGTTTTCTCTCTATATAACTTCTTGTAATAAGTTGTGATAAAGTTACTGTCTACCTACTGAATCATAAATGTATACACGTCATTCTTCCATTACGTATTTACATAGGTGTTCCACTGAAAATAACCCAGGCTCATAGTGCTAAAAAGCAGTGCTTTCAAGAATCTTAATATTCACGCCGTGCAACATTCTGCATACATCAATGTGTCTGCCTTCTATTCTAAATCTTGTAAATTACACGGAACTCTTCTGAAAGTACATACTTTACATGGTCCTTAGTAACATATTTCTATAGGGTATATATTTTTTTTGCCTTCTCCTTGGTTCTGATTGCTTGACTTAAGTAGTTAAACTGGCCAGAATATTATTCTAAAAGCAATGTGGTGAGGTTTTCAAACCAAACAGAAATTGTAATGCTTCTCTGTTTTTGAAAAAAACTATTTTCAGTATCCACTTACCAGTTGTGGCTTGTCTGTACACTTGACGCCTAAGTTGACACACCCGGTTTACGTCTTTCAGGTCCCCATGGAGTACAATCACTTGCAGGAAATCCCAGTAATAGCACTGCGGAACCGGTTGCTGCTGCTGCACCACATCTCGGAGCTCTTCTGTCCCTGCATCCCGATGTTCGACCTTGATGGGTGTCTTCATGAAACTGGGCTTGGACCTTCAGTTGGGTTTGATACACTACGAGGAATTCTGATATCCCAAGGAAAGGTACTCTTATAGCAGTCTTTGCTGTATGTCATACTAGTATCTTCAGTAGATTTTAATACAACCTAAATTCCTAAGCTAAGAAGACATAGAATACAGGTCATCCCATAAATGTTTATTGAGCACGTATGGTGCCAGGACCTGCTCTGGGTGCTTAGAATACTTCAGTGAAAAAAACAAAAACAGCCAAAAATCTCTTTAGCTCTTGGACCTTATATTAAAAAGTGATGTGCTGCTGGATTTTCCCCTTATAATCTCTGTATCTTGCCCCCTTTCTCTGCCCCGAAAAGGGGGTACAGCACTAAGCCTGTGTTCATACATTGGTTCTCTGCTTGCCTGACTTTGAAGCATTAAAGAAGAAAAAGAATTAGATTATTTCTTTTCCCAAGGATGTCCAGCAGGAGGTGCCAGGTTCTACATGTCTCTTAGTTAGACATCTGTACTAAGATATGTAGCGATTCCTAGTCGAATGGTAATTTAACCAGTGGTGACTACAGGGACACATTTATAATGGTGTCGCATGAGTGAGGGTATCTGAAAGTCACCAGACATATTTTGACCCATTGAAGTTTTTAATAATTAGAGCTTTCTGGAAATGGGATGCCCTGATTTAGGAGTTAGGGGTTTCCTGTTACTGGAGGTCATCAAGTTTTTTGACAAACAGCTTGACAGGGTTTTCTAGAAGAGGTTCAGTGATTGTATAGTATAGTGTTTGTGTAGGAAAAAAGTGAGGAGGTTGGACTGAGGAAAACTAATCCTGAAGAGTCTGTGATTCTATATTTTGTTATCAAAGGTTATGTCTGGTTTTAATGATATAATAAAATTTGGAAATTTTGTTTTGGAGTTCCGTTCAAGCAGACTGTTTTAGTTTTGGCTTTATTTCCACTTAACTAGAAGAATTTCTGCTGAACAAGATCACCGTGTGTGTCTTACTGTCACATATGGCAGAAGGACGAATATATGGTGACAGATGTTTTATCTAGTGGTAGGATCATCTCTTGGATGATGGGAGCAGGAAAAAAGTATGGGCAGGTAAAATTGACATAAAACTTAATTTCAACTATTTTCCAATTATAGAAAGTAGCAAAATTGATTATGTTCAGCTTCATTTCTTTTATCCCCTTAAGTGGAGATGATAATGGACAGTGATCAGGGGAAATTCTTTCGTTGTAAGGAGAGAAAGAAAGGTGACAGGTGTGGATGTGCCCCACCCCGGCAGAGTGCATCTGTCTATGTGGTTGTTGTGGGCACGCGGCCATCGGCCTGGACGTGGGGTCAGAGGCTGGGGATGCTCATCAGAGCAAGCCCTCAACAGCCCACATGGCTCCAAAGAGGGGCCTCTGAATGCAGCAGCATCTGAAAGAGGAGATGGGCATGTGGAGGATCTGAAAGCCACCCTTGAAGCAGAGGACGTGTCAACCTTCTCTCTGATCCTGGGCATGGGCAAAGATCAGCAGCTTTTGGGAAATGGGTGGTGTTGTGGTGGGAAGAGGAAGGAGATGTTCCTGCCAGGATGTGCTCAGAGCACAGAAGAGAGGGGCACAGGAGGGCTGGCCTAGGGGGCCCAACTCAGATACCAGAAGAGTTTGTGATAGGGGAGAGACTGTCTTTGTGTGAAGATAGTCAGGAAAGCAGGGTCAAAGTGGGGTTGTGAGAGGGTGTGTGATGACGAGGGTGCCTCTGTGAGCCTGTCTCCCTGGCTGACTCTCCCTGATGCTGGTGGTTTGCAACTTCCCCTGAAGACAGAGGTCAGCTAGTGGAATTATTTGATTTTTGTGTCTCTCAGTTAGTTAATTGCTTCTGAAAATTGACTTTCTGCTCCCATTAGAGCATGCAGGTAGGTATGGGAGATTGTATGTAGAAGATTGTGCTCTGTACTACACTGTTCTGCCCTCTAGATGTCTGTGGTTTTATTTATTTATTTATTTTTCTGTCCATCTGCAAAGAGAAAACTCTTTTAACTCTTCTTGGATGTTTGGTTTTCACTGGACTCTTCAGATCTCTCCCTGCTCGGTTGTGGTTTCTGTCCCTGTGGTACACACTCTCTGCCCGTCTGCTCTCCTGGAAAGCATGTGGGTTTGTGAGGCTGTCTCCCTGCTGACTCCCGTAGCCCATCCTAGGGGGCCTGCAGCCAGTGTGGCCCCTTCCTCAGGGCATCCACCCTAAATTTGTGTCAGTGCTCCTTCTGTGCAGCCTGGGCTGGCAGCCTAAAAAGGACCCTGTAGAACCCCCTTGAGCTTTCCTTTTCTTCACACCTAGAACCTAAACAGTCATAGCGCCACTGCTCGGAGTCCTCCCTGGGCCTTCCACCAGCTCCTGGGCAGGAGTGTCAGAGTGTCCAGGAGTACAGGAGCCTAAAAAAGAGAGAGGAAGGTTGAGGTGGAGAAAGATGGTAGTATAAGCGGTTGCACGCTTCTGTCCCCCGACAGCAAATCCAGAAGAAAACAAGCAAAAATGGATGAAATCGAATCTCAGAACTCTAGACAGCAGTTCAAGGGTTGGCAGACCAAAGTGAATGCTGGATAAAGAAAAAGGTCGCGTATAAACGGTGGGAGAGCAGTGGATCTCCACATGTCCACACCCAACCCCCATCCTTGGCTCAGCACAGCTATCTTGGGGTGATGGCAGTGACCAGCATACCCAGGCAAGAAGTCCTATATCAGAGCAGCACAGTGAGCACAGTGTGAGCTAGCAGTCCTGGCCGGAGAGTCCTGTTTTAGAGTGACAAAGCTAGCGCCCCCAGGTGGGGAGTCTGGTGCCTGAGCAGCACAGCCAGTACCCCTACTAAGGGAGCCTCGAGGTAAAGCCGTGATAGCTGGCACTCCCAAAGCAGAGAGACCAGTAGTGAAGTGACCACAGCAAGTGTACCAAGACAGGGAATCTGATGTTGAAGCAAAGAGCTGTCACCTTCAATAACTTAAAATAATAATAACAATAATGAAGAAGAGCAAACCCTAGGGAAAGGTAAGAAGCTAATATCCAGAGTTACCACTTTATAATAGTTAAATGTTCAGGTTTCAACAAAAAGTCATAGGCGTATGAAGAAATAGGAAAAGATTCCATACAAAAGATCAAAATAAAGTGACAGACACTGAATTGTACGTGTAGAAATTTTTGAAATGGTATATCTTTGGCTATGTATATTTTCACCAAAAAAAGAAAAGATCCTCCAAGGTTGAGAAGGGAGAGTGTTGACATGTCGTGAGGTTGTTAACCAATGTCATAAAACAATATGTGTACTGACTGTTTAATGAGAAACTATTTGTTCTGTAAACATTTACCTAAAGTACAATAAAAAAAAAAATTAAAAATAAAGTGACAGAAACTATCCCTGAGGTAGATCATAAAATGGAGTTACTAGACAAAGACTTTATTTTTTATTTTAATACTTCATTGTGTTTTCATGAAAGTTTACACAGCAACTTAGGTTCCCATTTAACAATTTCTGTACATATTGTTCAGTTACATTGGTTACATTTTTCAGTGTCAGCATTCTCATTATTTCTGTTCTGGTTGTCCTGTTTCCATTAATCTAGCTTCCCTGCCTCCCCCCTCCACCAACCCTTACCCTCTCATCTTTGCTTTAGGGTAAATGTTGAGCATTTGGTCTCGTACAGATGTTTTTTTAAAGGAGCACAGTACTCACAGGTGATATTTTTTATTTTATGAACCAATCTGTTATTTAGCTGAGTGATGACCTCCACATGTGTTTTCAGGATAAAGTTTAAAAGGTATCTCAGGGCAATAGTTTTGGGGGTTCCTCTAGCCTCTCCTGGTCCAGTAAGTCTGGATTTTTTAAGAATTAGAGTTTCGTTCTACATTTTTCTCTCATTCTATCCAGGACCTTCTATTGTGTCCCTGGTCAGAGTGGTTGGTAGTGGTAGCCGGGCACCATCTAGTTCTTCTGGTCTCAGGATAGATGAAGCCATGGTTCATGTAGGCTATTAGCCCTGTTTCTTCTTTGAGTCTTTTGGTTTCTTTCTCTTTTGCTCTAGTTGAGTAAAGACCAGTAGAGCACAATAGATGGCTTCTTGCAAGCTTTTAAGACCCCAGACACTACTTGCCAAACGAGGATGTAGAACATAAAGTTTATGAACTATGTTATGCCAGTTGACCAAATTGTCCCACAAGATTATGGTCCTAAGTCTTTAAATCCAGTAAGCCACTCCCACAAGGTGTTTGGTTATATCTGGGAAGTATCTGTAACTGTGCCCTCTATATGCTTTATTATATATATGAATACATACGCAGTACACACATACATATATATATACATATGTCTACAGATAAGCCTATACATGCACTCATACATATACACACATATATCTTTCTATATACATGTATGAATACGTATCTGCCTATGTAACCTCTCACATATTTTTTGGTTGTTATTGAAAAATTGTATATGTTATAGCATTTACCAGAAAGTCCCTTATTTTTGTGTACTTCCTAGTGTCATTGTTTACCTTAGTGAAGTTGTGCACACTTCACCTGCATTTAGTATTGCCTTTCCCATCACCAAATATAACAAGTATCTACTATCTAGAGAGTGAGTCCCCCTCCTTTCCCCTCCCATCCCTGGTAACCACCAATGAATGTTGATTTCTGTATAGACAAAGACTAAAGCAGTAGTACTAAATAATGCCCAGAGAATTAAAGGAAAACACAGAAAAAGAACTAAAGGAAATCAAGAAAATGATACAAGAACGAAACAGGAATCTCAGTAGAGGTAGAAATTTTTTAAAAGAACCAAGCAGAAATAACGGAGCTGAAAAGTACGATAACAGAAATGAAAAATTTACTGAAGGGGCTCAACAGTAGATTTGAATTTGCAGAGTAAAGAATCAGTGAACTTGAAAATAGGGCAGTTGAGATTATTGAGTCTTAAGAAGAAAAAAGGATGAAGACAAGTGAACAGAGCCTAAGAGACCCGTGGGATACCATCAAACAGAATAATATATGTGTTATGAGAGTCCCAGAAGGAAGAGAGAGAAAGGGGCAGAAAGAGTATTTGAAGAAATAATGGCCAAAAACTTCTCAAATCTGACAGAAGACATGAACCTATACATCCAAGAAGCTCAATGAACATCAAGTAGGATAAACCCAAAGAGAACCACACCTATATACATTATAATCAAGGTCTCTAAAACCAAGGATAAAGATAATTTTGAAAGGAACAACAGAAGTGTCACATACAGGAGACTCTCAGTAGGATTAAGGTTTCCCCTTAGAAACCATGGAGGCAAGAAGGCAGTGGGATGACATGTTTAAAGTGCTGAAAGAAAAGAACTGTCAACCAAGAATATTATATTCAGCAATTCTGTCCTTCAAGAATGAAGGTGAAATTAAGACATTCCTAGATAAATAAAAGTGGAGGAAAATTGTTACCACTAGACCTATCCTACGAGAAATGCTCAAGGGAATACTTCAGATGGAAAAGAATGGATACTGGACAGTAACTCAAAACCATGCTCAGTGTGGGGGGAAAGGAGAGAACGGATGAGAGCACAAGAAACACTTTGATGTTCATGTTCTGCTTGTTACAATCCCCAGTGTTCTTGTTCACCGAGGTCTTCTGCTTTTTCTGTTTCCTGGGGGGCCTTATTTTGTCAGTGATTCCTTCCTTCTCCTAGGTTTTCTACTTTCCTCCCCTAACCACCGTTAAATATTCAAAAGCTCTTCCTCAGCACCATATTATAGATACTACCCCACCTCTCCACCTGTCTGAAAAGCAATGAGTACATGGCTCAGCCACTGCGACCCCTCCCTGGGTCCCCTCCTATGTCTTGGTCCTGTTCCTCAGAGGTTGCTTCTCTCAGGCTCTGCTCCCAGGAGAAGGGGCCCCAGATGGTATCAGCTCCTGTCCTCCTTGGTGTTTTGCAGGGCCCTGGGCCATGGTAAGGACTCTGTGCTCCCCCAGCCGTCCCTTCCCTGGGAATGACGATAGCCACTAGGTTCCAGTAGAGACCTGGGACTCCTATCAATTCTTCCTCCTTCAGGTGTCCTTGAATCTCTGTCTCCTTCCATTTGGCATTGCTCTCCCAGCCAGGGCCATGGTTGCCCCTTCACGCAGCCCCTGGCACCATCCGCACTCTGATGTGCTCCTTTCAGACCTGCACTCTAGCTCAGGCTGAGCGCCTGCTACCGTGCACCAATGGTCCTGTCTCTCTCCAGCTTTTAATCCTCTTAGGGAAATGTCCAAATCCCCCCATGGTCCCTTCCATACAGGCTGTACCCCACACCACTCTCCTCCTCACAGTCTTCGCCGGGGCTCTCTGGGTTTCATCTCAGTGGACCTCCACCAAGACCTCTGCTCCTGCTCTTCCTCCCCTTTCCGCCACCTGAGCCTGGCCACCCCAGGGTCTGTGGCCCTTGCTGCATCTTTGTGTTCAGTCATACCCCCATACACTCAGTGCAGAGACATGTTAGCCCCTGCCACTCACAAACCTACAGTTGGCAGGGAGGATCGTGTCCTGGTGCGTTCTCAGGGCCCAGCCACACTGGGACTGAGCAGGCCCCTAGCACCCTGCAAGCCGTGGAGACACCCAAGACGATGATCAGGGAACGCAGCCCTGCCTGCCTGCCAGCCTGTGCACTCTATTGCTGCCAGACACCCTGCTCCTCATGACTTAACAAGGAGAGTTTGCAGCTATCTAATCAAATGTGTTTAACCAAATGCGACTTTTAGAGAACTCATTTTAAACAAAATTGTAGCGTGATTTCTTTATGGATGATGCTTTCTATGTTGGATTTTGAACTCTGTCCGCTTGACATGTTTTAGGAGGCAGCTTTCCGAAAAGTCGTGCAAGCAACCATGGTGCGAGACCGTCAGCACGGCCCTGTGGTAGAGCTGAATCGAATCCAGGTAACGCAGGGGGGTTCATTTAGACCCATCCATCTCGGGTGTGATGCTTCCATGGGTTGCGAATTGTGTGCCTCCAGCAGTGGGGAGAAGAGGATGCCTATGGAGTTTTTCTTGGGTCCTGCTGCTTTAAAGAGCGAGTGACTCCTTTTCTCTTTGACACTTCCTGTCTGTAATGTCCTGTGACGCTGCTTCCAGGGGGGAACCGGAATTTCTTTTCTTTATAACGGAAGTAATACGTATTTCAGATAACCTTGAAGTACAAATACAGATAAGCAGAAAAGAGGAAATAGAAATCACCATCTTCGTGCCACGTAGCAATAACAGCCACTGTTACGTTGTGGGAACGTGTGCCTCTGTTTGTTGTAGGCAAAACTGGATACTCTGTTTTGTAACTTGCTTTTTTTTTCACACTTAATGCACTGTGAACACCTCCCCATGCCATTAAGTAGGATTCTGTGGCATTGTGTTTATTGGCTGCCTGGGTTCTCTTGGAGGGATGTACCCCAGTCTGTGTTTTCAGAGTCATCTGGTGGGGGCTCAGAGGCTGTTTCTCATTTTCTTAGATGTGGAGAGGGCTGCTTGGTGGGGCCGTGTCTACATTCCGTCTTCACCGGTTCTCTTTGGTTGAGGCTGAGAAGCCTTGCTGGGTTGAAGGCCATTGAAACCTACATTGCAGGAAAGGCTGTAGCAATTCATCTTTCCACCAGCACTGTGTGCTGCCTCAAACCCTCCCCCATTCAGGTAGTTTTCTTTGCTAATGTTTGATAGGCCCAGATTGCTTAGTACTGTCTATTGATAGTAATCAAAGAAATGAAAGGTAGACCATCTCTGAATTTATACTGCTGCTGAGTGTATATAAGCTTATGGTTTAGAAAATGAATTAAAGAAAGAACAGCCCTGGCTCTGAATTGCCCTGCTGTGAGGGACTTGACATTTATGCACCAATGAGATCAGCCCACCCTTTTGGAACGGGAACAGAGAACTGTGAAGAAAACATTCTTTGTTCCTCTGACTTTGGTGTTAACACATGATTTTTACCCTGATGTTGGTTACATGACTAGAAGTTTTCCCAAGTTGTACTTGGGGCCATTCTGGATGAAGACATCAGAGCCTGTCCGTTGTTAGACAGCACATGTGACCGCATTGACAGATGTGGGCATGGTTAGCCCCCTCTTCCCTGACGTCTGTGTTCAGTGTCGACTGTAGGTCAGTAGGCTGATTTTACAAGTTAAGTAGGTTGCTTAATTAGTTGCATAAAAGAGTTTTTATTTCCCCACCTTGGATGACCTTTTTGGTTTGCTGTGCATTATCAGGTCAGAAAGAGCCTCTAAGTAAGGACAGCTGGTGGCTTACACCTCATCTCCTGCCTGCTCTGAGCATGTCTGACCCACGGCCCTGTCCCAGAAGCTCACAGCACTTGGGTGGCAGAGCCCAGGCAGAGAGGCGCCAGGGCCTCAGGAAAGCCTCGATGGCTAGAGCCCAGCTTAGGCACAGCTTCTCTTATCTCACGTTCTTCAGGTGCCTCAGTCTCGTTCTGTATCCCCGGCCCACTGCTTTGCACTATGAAAATGTTCAACAGATATTTGAAAGAACAAACTGGAGAAATGGCAGACGCTTTTATACCAGGAATGTTTTTACAAAGCAAACGAGTGATACTCAGCATGGTGTGTGTGCTGCTTGATGTCTCAGTGGCGGGCTTTGGCCCATCCCGCAGCCCTCAGGTCTCAGAGCAGGTTCATCTCACTCAGGATGTCGTACCCTCCCGAAGCTCTAAAGGTTTCAACAAAGATGGAAGTAGAAGTGTTTTTCTGACAAAAGTTAGACATGAGGTAAAACCACTCAGTGAATCCTCAAATAGGTGCCCACTTTTGCCTGTCCTGGCCGCCACCGCCACTGGCCTCCTCCCTGGTGTGGAAAGTCTTTTAGAGATGCTACAACTTGGGTCATGTTCCTGGAGGATTTTTATTTATTTATTTGTTTTGAATTTGAATTAGTTTTATAGCAGGATCTGAAAATCAATATATAGAAAATATTTTAATTATTTTAAAATTAATGACATAATTAATCATCTCTGAAAATTCAGGAAATACAGATTAAAGACAGTTAAAATCAGTGACTTCATCTGTGAGCGCACAGCGTCCCTGTCTGTGTCTTGCCTGTGCTCACACAGCCCTGCTTCCCTGCCTGCCACGGAGCCTGAGGATGTGCAGCACTGCTGCCTGGCCTTGAGAAGGGCTCGTGCTGTATGTGGCTGTCATCTCACTTCTCACGTAACAGCTGTGACACTTGGGATGCATTCCTTCCTTTATCGGGCTAGCTTTCCTATGCGGATATGTGGACCTTAGAAAGTCACTGCGAGGAGCAGATGAGATAACACTGGTGACAGCAGCTAACGGCAGCACGTAGCCAAGTTCCTTCCGCAGATAACCACAACTGTTACTGTTACCATCACTGTTCTTACATTCTTAGTCTTGGTAGTGGTAATTTGTACTAAGGAGAATTACTGTTTAAACGCAACTAGAACTCATGAAGAGGTTGAAACAGTGAGACTTTTGCTGGAGGATTCAGTATAAAAGCATATTCCTATGATCACATCACTCCTCAGCTTTTTACTGTGATGTGGTTTCAGACAGTGTCACAGGTGTCTCTGACGCACAGCCTGGTAAGGGCCATGACGTCCTTTGTCTGAGCTGCTCAAAACTTATACTGTAGGATGAGAATTATGGCTATGAGGGGTGACTGTACTGGGCTTGGGGCTTGATGACATGATGATCGGGAGTGTCATCAGTGCAGTGGAGTAAATGAGGGTGAGGAAGGTGGTATCTCACGAGGCAGAGTATCTGGTTTTGGTTGTCAGCCACATGGTGCAAGCCTTGTGGGTGCTGAGAGTCTGCCCGGGGGGCCACTTCTGGAGTCACTGGAATCTCATTCCCCGGAGGCCACGGCGAGGCAGTGAAGCATCTGCAGGGGGCAGGCTGTCGGGTGAAGGTGAAATGCACAATGTGGGGTTGGAGGCTACAGTGTCGACAGCCTGGACGACCCCCAGGTGAGCAGTAGGTAGCAGTCTGTCATTTTGGAAACTGTGTTTGTTTAGAAACTGCCAGCCCGGAGGAGTGCTGTGCGTGTCACTGACTGGGAGAGGTGAGGTGGAGACCAGAGCACCCTGGCTGCACTGCTGGGTGAGAGCAGGGTGTAGGGAGGTCCTGCCTGCGTGTTCATCCTGGCCACTTTAGCCCTGTAGGCATGCTCCCTGCTCTCGGCCATTCAAATCCTGGTCTGTGTGGTGCTCCTGCATGGGACAGATGACAGATGTCATCAGAGGGCTTGGAATGTGGGAGATGAAAAACATGCTGGGAGCTTCAGTAAGCAGCTCTGAAACAGACACTCAGTGGTCAGACCTTCTGCAGCCTGGAGGAAAGCCTCCTAGGTTGGCATGAGAAAAATAAATGGCCAGGAAAGGACTTGGATATGGACAGTTAACACGGAAGGGGAAATGAGTTAGAAGAATGAGGTGCAGGGCTCGCTGTAAAAACTCTTGATCATTTTTGTTTGGTTTTGCTTTTGTTACTTTCCCGGAGGCCCCAAATCACCTGTGAGGTCGTGGTGGTGACAGTACACACAGGCGCGCCTGCTCCCAGCCTAGCTCAGGCTGGAACCTTCCGGGCTGCATTTACCATTCATGCCCACTCTTCAGGTAGGAGCTGCCGCCTTTTACCGACACTGAAATTGAGGGTGCCCCACTTCAGCCTGCAGCATATGGCCATGCAGCAGTGAGTGCCGAGTCAGGCTCGTGTCCAAGCCTCAGGAAGAGCGGATGGCTCCCCCAACTCTAGTCAGTGCCACACCGGAGTAAAGGACAAACAGGGGCCACAGGAGAGGCCTTTGGACCCGGTAATGGACTGCTGTGTGCTCTGGTGAGACAGGGACCACGTGCATCTATGCTGGTCTCACTGCACAGGAGGACAGGTGTGGGCTGTGCTTCCAGCTGCTGCAGCTGGTTCATATTTTCTTTCTTTCTCCTTTCTAGGTCAAACGCTCAAGAAGTAAAGGTGGGCTAGCAGGCCCTGATGGCACAAAGTCCGTCTTTGGGCAGATGTGTGCTAAAATGAGCGCGTTTAGTCCAGACAGCCTCCTCCTTCCACACCGAGTCTGGAAAGTCAAGTTTGTGGGTAAGAACCTCCTCTGTGTGCTGAAGAGATACTGATGGAACGTGAATGCGTGTCCTTCTGGGTGCCTGGGAAGCCCACTTGTATGCCTTCACATGTGCTCCCTGTCACCACAGTTGGTGAGTGGCTCATTTCCTTCTCACCCAAGGTGAGTCTGTGGATGACTGTGGTGGTGGCTACAGTGAGTCCATCGCCGAGATCTGCGAGGAGCTTCAGAACGGACTCACTCCTCTTCTGATTGTGACGCCCAATGGCAGAGACGAGTCTGGGGCCAACCGGGACTGCTACTTGCTCAGCCCTGCCGCCCGGGCCCCCGTGCACACAAGCATGTTCCGCTTCCTGGGTAGGTGCTTGCTGGGCTGGCTGTCGGTGCCATGTCTGTGTCATTTGTGGTTGCCTTTTTTGTATATGTGTGTATATAATGTTTTATTTTTGTTGTTGTTGAGAATGTATACAGCAGAACATACACAATGCAACAATGTCTACAAGTACAATTCAGTGACATTGATTATGTTCTTCAAGTTGTGTAATCATTCTCATCCTCCTTTTCTGAGTTGTTCCTCCACCATTAACATAAACTCACTGCACCCTAAGTTTCCTATCTAATCTTTTAAATTTCTGTTGTCAATTTGATCCCATATAGATAGATCTTAAAAGAGCACAATAATGCTCAAGGCATTCTTTACTAGTTAAGCTAAACTATTATTTACTTTTAAGAAGACTTCATGGGTATTTTGGATTTAAGGTTTAAGGATTATCTCAGGACAGTAGTTTCAGGGGTTCATCCACCCTCCATGAATCCAGATTCTCATGGTTGCCTTTTATCTTGGTTTATTATCTACTCTCTGCCTTGTTAGTGACAGGAGATATTTTGAATATCTACTTTTAGCTTTTGAGACTCTTTCCAATAGAAATTATTTCTAACATTTATAGAAATTAGCAAGATATTTGTTGTTGACTTTCTAGTACTGCAGGTTCAGTTCGTGATGGATGGCACATGTTGTGCCATAGCTACATCTGTGCCTTGCTGCAGGGAGGGCTACAGACCAGACATACCCATCTGTTTTATTAGTACAATGGCGTATTTGAAGACGGAAGATGCTGTGGCTGCCAGAGGATCTGAAATCCAGTGTTTCTATATTCTAATTGTAGCTGACCCTCAAGATCATGCACCTGAGAAGGGAGAGGTTGGCTGTTACCCAGCCCCACTGCCTGTTGCACCTCAGGGTTCTGCGTGGAGCACCCGTGGCTGATGGTCCACTCATGTCCAGTGGCGGGCAGGGCTGCTGCTTCAGGGCAGAGCACCTGCCCCCTGGAGCTCTGGTTGCTTGTTCTCCTATCACATGGGCACTAACTGGCTTCTCTGTAGCTAATACTTGTTGCTGAAAAGAGAACGAAAGGTTTCTGCCTTGAGATAACAGTCTGGTAGCATTTAGAAACTGGGCCTGTCGGAACAATAAGAATGGAGGAATTTAGAAATATGCATCTGTCCTTGAGTGGCCATCACATGAGTTTGAGTGCCATTGATTTAGAGGCACTGAGACCTCTGTAGGACTAAGTCTGCACTGGGTTTATAGTTCATGAGTGTCCTCTGTCCTTTGTGTTTTGGATGACCAGGTGTGTTAGTGGGCATTGCCATCCGCACTGGGAGTCCGCTCAGCCTCAGCCTCGCAGAGCCCGTCTGGAAGCAGCTGGCCGGGATGAGCCTCACCATCGCAGACCTCAGTGAGGTAACTCACAGCATGTGGTGTGGGCCTGGGCAGCACTGCCTCCTGCAGGGACGTGGAACACACATGCATGGGGGTCCCCAGAGTCTGCCTAGGAGGCCCCAGGACAGGGCTTAGGACCCAGCGTGTCTAACACTCCAGGAGATGCCCACATGGCTGGTCTCAGACCACAGTTTGAGTAGTAGAGGGTCTTTTTAGGCCAGTTGCTTCTAAAAACTTGATAGACCATCTGCTTTGCAGCTCACAGATGCTAATGTCACACCATCTTATAAGACAGGTGGCTGTTTTTCCTTTGAGGAAGCTGAGTGTGGAGAGGTTTCTAGGGTAGAAATGGGACCCCTCCTGCACTGCGCTTTCTTTGTGCCATGTTTGTGGAGGGAGTTCATCATTTACCAGGTGCCGATGCTTTCTCAGGGTTCATTGTAAGGTGCTTCCTTGAGCTGCATGTTCTCGCTTTGGCTCCCTGCTGCTTTGTCGTGGTTCACAGCCCGGTTGGTGCACTTCACCCCTGTTGGGAGGAGCGTGGGGTACCTTCTGGCTCAGCACGGGTGCTGTTTCTCCTTAAAAGGTGGACAAAGATTTCATCCCTGGGCTCATGTACATCCGTGACAATGAGGCTACCTCAGAGGAGTTTGAGGCCATGAGCCTGCCCTTCACGGTGCCCAGTGCCAGCGGCCAGGACATCCAGCTGAGCTCGAAGCACACCCACATCACGCTGGACAACCGGGCCGAGTATGTCCGCCTGGCCATAAACTACAGGTTCGTGGGCTTTTCCCTCAGGTGTTCACTCTGGTGCGTGTAGCGCCTTCCTAAGGGCACTGAGCAAGATGTCGGTGGTGGGTCAGCTGGGTGGTGCGTTTGGTTCCTGGTGTCTGACTGAGGACAGCGCACAGTGGCTGTGCGATGTGCTGTGCCCCGTGCCGGGCTCTGACTGGGGGCCACAGCATCGAGTCCCGAGCACAGCCTGTCTCAAGGCATGCTCTTTGTCCTGGGGTAGCACAGGCACCAGGGGCGGGGCAGGCAACTCTGGGCTCCTTCCTGGGGACCCAGGCAGTGTTGAGAGTTGGGACTTAGAATGTGTGTCTGTAGGTGGATCTTTTAAGGGTGTGGTATCTGCCAGTCTGATGGACGATGTCCTGTGAGAAGCGCTGTTGGGCCAGATCTGTAAGACGTACATTTTCACCTGAGCCATATTCTTGGCCCTTTGCAGCTGTGAAGCATATGGCCACACGCTGTTCGGCAAGGCTTGGTATGACCAGGAGAAAGTCTGTATCACTAACAGAATGTGAAGTGCATGTTTTCTTTCAGACTCCATGAGTTTGATGAGCAAGTGGCTGCCGTTCGGGAAGGAATGGCCCGTGTGGTGCCCGTGCCCCTGCTCTCCCTGTTCACTGGATACGAACTAGAGACGATGGTACGCTGACCTCCCGCTGGGTCTCGCAGGAACTGCCCTTTTGCACGCTGAACAGCCAAATCCATGTCACTTGCTAGTTTCATCTTGCACTTGGAAATCTGAGATGATCCGTGCATGTTGGATGAAGTACAGGCACGTTTAGAGTGTGTGTGCTCCCTGCCTCGCTCTCTTCTCCTTGCCCTTCCACCCCACCCCAAAAAAGGGCTGAGGTGCAGGTCAGAGCACACGTCCGTCCTGGATGTCTAAGATGGAGTCAGGCAGAAAGAAAGGCCTCATCTTAACAGCCCTCTCAGGCACACTGATATACCACCCCTCCTAAGAACAGGCCTCGGTAGAAAGAAGGCACCATAGCTTCTCAGCTGAAAATGAAAGGATTTGACAGTGTCGGTCAGCCCTGATAGAGTGTTCCTCTGTAGGTCTGTGGCAGCCCCGATATCCCTCTGCATCTTTTGAAGTCGGTGGCAACGTATAAAGGGATTGAGCCCTCTGCACCTCTGATCCAGTGGTTCTGGGAGGTGATGGAGTCCTTCTCCAACACGGAGCGCTCCCTCTTCCTTCGGTTTGTGTGGGGCCGGACCAGGCTCCCCAGGACCATCGCCGACTTCCGGGGCAGAGACTTTGTCATCCAGGTACGCTCCTTTTCTGGGCTGCCCACGTCGGGTGCTGATGGTGCCTGCTTGCACACTGGGTGGGAGAGACACACAGAGTCCTGGAGCAGATTAGTTTGCTTTCTTCACTGAAACAAAATGAAAAATACTCAGCTTCTTTAGTTTGATGGTTCAGAATTTCATGAATACAAAGGCTTGTTCATTTCTTTTTTCTTGAGTACCGTGTTTTTACACAAATAGCACGCGCCTTCTGCGTTTGTTTGCTGGCTGTGCCCTCCCCCTGCCGAGGTATTCATGTGTAGTGTGTTGATAGTTTTTTACAGCAACATGTGGAAAAGGAATGACTAAGTAATATGTGACTTACCCAGAAAAACAAGAAAGCTTATCAGATTGAGAACAAGAATTGTGCTCTGTGACCCCCACCCAGTTCTGTCTAGAAACAAGCTCTGTTTATCTGACAGGTCCTTTAAGTTAAGTGACATGGCTCTCCCACCGCCTGCCTTCTCTCTCCTGGAGCACTCAATTGTTCTGTCCTGTAGGAGTCCCACAGAGGCGGTGAGGCTCCTCTGAGGGACTCAACTGGGATGTAGTGGCCCGTCTGTCCCCAGCATACTAGTAAGGGTTCAGGATGGGCTGTCTCCCAAGCTCTGCCTGGTCTGAGCTTTTGGCCAGAAAGTATTCATCTTTCAGGGAGATCTCCAACAGTCTGTATCATTTTTCACTTAAAAGGTAGGTAATATCTAATGCTCACAATTCTTGCTAGCTTCCTAGCGTCTTAATTCGTAGTGGCAGAAGGTGGGCTTATGGACTCACTGGAACCTCCCTGTGTGGGCCAGAGCCATCGCCTCCACCTGCCCCAACTTGCCCCGAGCTCTGGACGGGAGGGCTGGGCTCCCACTTGTGTCAACAAGTATGGATGAAGCCATTGGCTCTTCTTCAGTATTGATTAGTAAGAAGTAATCATAATAACCAATGGATATTTCTTACTCTAATCCTATGAATTAATGTCTTCTCCTTTTTATTTCTAAAATTGACAAAATTATGAGTTTTCTGACATTTTGTTATTCTTAGCCAAAAACTATGATGATTTTTCTGAGTGTCATTAGTCTGTTGTACATAGTAAAATAGATCTGCAGTTTGACCTGTCCTTGTGCCTGTGTCCCTGATTCTCTAACGTGTTTTCTCAACAGGTGTTGGACAAATACAACCCTCCCGACCACTTTCTTCCTGAATCGTACACGTGTTTCTTTTTGTTGAAGTTGCCCAAGTATTCCTGTAAACAGGTGCTGGAGGAGAAGCTGAAATACGCCATCCACTTTTGTAAATCAATCGACACAGATGATTATGCTCGCATAGCCCTCACAGGAGAGCCGGCTGCCAACGACAGCAGCGACGACTCGGATAATGAAGATGTAGATTCTTTCGCCTCCGACTCTACGCAGGATTATCTAACAGGACACTAGGATAAAGAAATACATCATGAGGTGGATGGCAAGAGACTGTGAGCAAGGAGCCGAGCACTGCATGGCTCTGACCTCAGAGTGGCTGGTTTGTGTGAAGGGAAATATTAGTCTCTACATGTGGGGGAGGGAAGGCAGGGAGACTGGGATTGTCCATGAGCATGGAAATGAGCTGCAGACACTTAATATTTATGTTTGAGACTTAAAATGGTCGTCTTGCCCCTAATGCTGCATTACATGTAGGACTTCTGTGTTTACTGAAGTGTGTAAATGTTGATACAAAGACTGGATTGCAATGTTCCAAAAATAAATAAAGCCTTTTTACTTGTGGGTGCAATAGATTTTTTTCTCTTTTCTTCCTTTCAAGTTTGTGCATCGTCTTGTGTATTGGATATACTGTGTAACAAACCGTATTATAAATATTTCAACTAATTTTACTCTGAATTTGTTTATTAAAAGCTTTTTGAACAGTAAATTATCAGTCTTACTTGAAATAAATCCAGAGGTTATTTAAACCAAGGAAAAAAGAAAACCATTAGATTCTCCCTCTCCTTGCTGGTGTGCATTTTAGCATATGCATTATGTGATTTGAATGACGCCTGTGAGCAGCACCGTAATTTTTGTCATGGAAGATATAGTATATGTAATGTTTGGGTCATGTACATGCATAAATTTTTAATTCCCTATAAATAAAACATCTGCCACAAAATCGTTGGCTGAGCTTTCTTCTCGGGCTAGACTAGCACTGATGAATGTGCTACAACCACCACGCAGTAGATTAGTCTTCAACACAGCAATTGTCAAGCAACTTCAGTCTAGTTTAGACTTTTTTTTTTTTTAAAAACCAACACCAAACTCCCTCGGTTAACAAAGGAGTGGCCTTTAGAGTGGAGAGATTCAAAGCAAACATTGCTGGGTGTTGAGCAGGTGGAAACTGGGAGCTTCCAGGGTCCAAGGGTGCCTTGCTTCCCCTTTGACTTCCAGCCCATTCTGGTTAGTTTGCACAGTCTTGGTTCACACTCCCTTTGGCCTAGGGTCAGGTGTCTTTCTGATCTAATCAGCCAGAGGGTAAGATTTGAGTTGCTTGTTGGGATTGTGCATATGGCAGGCTCTGGTGGCGGGGAGTGGGTAGTGTAGCCTGAGAATGACGCAGGGGAGTTAACTGGCAGGACTAGTGCCCCAGAACTTGAGGGAGAGGCAAAAGTGTGTTTCATGTTGGGAGATAGTTTTTTCAGATATGTCAGATGAGAGAGCAGGAAAGCCTTTTTCTGGGAACTTTCCATGACCAAATTGGTGACTGCCAGCCTGGCTTGGCTCCAAATTCCCATAAGCTGTATGCTGACTTTTATCACCACCCTTCTGTATCAGTCAGCTTTTGCTTCCTAACACGACCCCACAGGTCAGTGTGAGAAGCATCGTTTACTTCTTGTGCGTTGGAGGGTGGGCAGGGACTTGGCTGATCTTGGATGGGTGGTTCAGGATGACAGGTTAGGCGGAGCCCTGCTTCACACATCTCTTCTGCTGACCTGGGCACGTCTTACCATGGTGATGACGGAGGAGCAAGAAAGCAAGTGACACATTAGGCCTGCACTCAGAACTGCCCTGTCACCTCCATCTGCGTTCCGTTGGCCAGAGATAGCCGAGTGACCAGAGCCAACATCAAAGGGCAGGGACATGCGTTCTGCCCCTAGAACAGTGGTTCTCAAAGTCCTGAGACCCCTGGGTTCCCAAGTCCCTTTCAGGTTGCCCATGAAGTCCTCCCTTTTCCATCTGTGTGTCTGGGTAAGGCTAGGTTTTCTTCCTGTACTTCATCCAAAGCAACACAGCGAAATAGGTGGAATGTAGAAGCCAATACAAGGAGGATCCAACTGTTATTGTTAAGCCAGATTTAAAGAGATTTATAAAAATGTAGACAACGCCATTCTCACTGAATTTTTTGTCCTAGAGAATAATTTTTTCAGATATTCATGTTAACAAGTAATAGGTTTGTTTTTATTTTTATATATATAGTTTTATTACTATATTAAGGCCCAGCGAGATGTTATTAGGATACAGATTTGGTATCAACCTTAAAAAGGTTCCAAAATGATGGTAAAGTCATTAGTATCAGCGTATCTCCAGAAGAGTTCAAGGATATCTGTAACTTAAGAACTCCCTGACTTTATTCCATTAACTTCCCTGTTAGTGATAACACTATTCACCCAGAGCAAGTTAAAAGTACTGAGCTCGCTCATCTAGCGTAAGAAAGGTGTTTATTCCTAAAAAAAAAAAAAACTGTTGGCTTTTCCTCCTCCTTGAACATGTAAGATATTCTTATCTTTGAAACTAGACAACTGCAGTTACTTTACAAGTAGTCTTTTTTAGTATGATTTGCTGCCCCTTCAGTGCTGCCAACTCATGACCTTTTAATGAGCAATGTCTTTCTCTTCCTTCTTCTGGAATTTTAATTAGAGATTAGAACATTTCGTTCTGCGCTTGGTGTCTCTTGTGTGTGTTCTATCATGTTGCATTTTATTAAAGTTCTCAATATCTACCTTCAGTTCTAGTTTTATCTAGCGTGCTATTAAATATTGTTAGGTTCCCTCAAGTGGGTTTGACTCAGCGACCCTATGTACAATTGTACGAAATGCTGCCCAGCCCTGCACAATCCTCACAATCATTCCTGTTTGAGCCCATTGTTGCAGCCACCGTGTCCGTCTATCTCATTGAGGGTCTTCCTCTTTTTCGCTGACCCTCTGCCTTACCAAGCATTATGTCTTTGTCCAGGGAATGGCCCCTCCTGATAATACATCCAAAGTACGTGAGACAAAGTCTTGCCATCCTTCTAAGGAGCGTTCTGGCTATATTTCTTACAAGTCAGAAGTGTTTGTTCTTCTGGCAGTCCATGGTATATTCAGTATTGTTCACCAACACCGTTAAATACTGCTATTAAATACAGTGTTTTAATACGTAATGGTATTTTTTCTTTGTAGATAGTCTAATCATTTTTTGGAATTTCTCATTGATGCATCTTGATTCTTACTAATTTAATGCTTATCTTTATTTTTTAGTTTTTTTTCTTTTTATATATTTTTTTAATTTTTTTATTTTAGATGAAGGTTTACAGAACAAATAGTTTCTCATTAAACAGTCAGTACACATATTGTTTTATGACACTGGTTATCAACCCCATGACATGTCAACACTCTCCCTTCTCGGCATTGGAGGACCTTTTTTTTTGCTGCAAATACACATAGCCAAAGTTACACCATTTCAAAAGTTTCTACATGTACGATTCAGTGACATCAATTACATTATTCCAGTTGTGCTGCGGTTCTAACTATCCTTTTCCAAATTATTCCATCACCATTATCTTCAACTCACTGCCCCCTAGGCTTCCCATCCAAACTTTTGAATTGCTGTTGTCAATTTGATCTAACATAGATAATGCTTTTTTTTTTTTTTTACTGTAGATGAAGGTTTACAGAACAAATAGTTTCTCATTAAACAGTACACATATTGCTCTATGACAATGGTTTGCCCCATGACATGTCAACACTGTCCCTTCTCAACCTTGGGTTCCCTATCACCAGCTTTCCTGTCCCCTTCTGCCTTTTAGTCCTTGTCCCTGGACTGCTGTGCCTCATTAGTCCCATTTTGTTTTATAAGGCTGTCCAATCCCGGCTGAACAGTGAACTTCGGGAGTGACTTCACCACTGAGCTAAAAGGATGTTCGGGGGCTATACTCTCAGGGTTTCTCCAGTATGTCAGGCCAGTAAATTTAGTCTTTTTTTTTGTGAGTTAGAATTTTGCTCTACATCCTTTTCCAGCTTTGTCCAGGACCCTCTGTTGTGATCCCAGTCAGAGCAGTCAGTGGTGGTAGCTGGGCACCATCTAGCTGTACTGGACTCAGTCTGGTGGAGGCCGTGGTAGCTGTGGTCCATTAGTCCTTCGGACTAATCTTTTCCTTGTATCTTGTTCTCTTCATTCTCCCTTGTTTGTGAAGAGGTAAGACCAATGGAGTATCTTAGATGGCTGCTCACAGGCTTTTAAGACCCCAGACGCTACTCACCAAGGTAGAATGTAGAACATTGTCTTTATAAACTGTGTTATGCCAATTGAGTTAGATGTTCCCCGAGACCATGGTCCCCACAGCCCTTTGCCTGGCAATTCAGTCCCTCGGGAGTTTGGAAGTGTCTGTGGAGCTTCCATGACCTAGTATAAGCTGTGCTGGCTTCCCCAGTATTGTGTACTGTCTTAACCTTCACCCAAGTTACTGCTTATCTATTGTCTATTTAGTTCCCCCTCCCATCCCTCATAACCATCAAAAATTGTTTCTTTTTGTGTGTAAACTCTTACGAGTTTTTACAGTAGAAGTCTTATACAATATTTGTCCTTTTGTGATTGACTTATTTCACTCAGCATAATGTCCTCCAGTTTCATCCATGTTATAAGATGCTTCACAGATTCATCGTTGTTCTTTATCATTGCATAATACTCCATTGTGTGTATGTACCATAGTTTATCCATTCATCTTTTGATGGGCATCTAGGTTGTTTCCATCTTTTTGCTATTGTGAACAGTGCTGCAATGAATATGGGTGTGCATGTGTCTATATGTGTGATGACTTATTTCTCTAGGATATATTCCTAGGAGTGGGATTGCATTTTGTAGTGCTTTTTTTTTTTTGTGTGTGTGGTGCTGATGTTTTCTTTGCTCCTCTTACTCTCCTGTGCTGAGTTCCTTTTGTTTGTGGATTTTCTTTTTCATTTATTTTTGTTTTTGTAGGTTTTCACTGAGACTTTATGTTTTTCTTCTTTATTTTGATAAGTAGGTTTGTTAACTTTCTTTGTGGTTACCTTGAAATTTACCCTTATCTTCCGAGATTTGAGCCAGTCTATTATTACTTGGTATCGCCTTGCCTTCCTCTCCATTAAAAGGTTCTATACCTACACCATTTATTCCCTCTTTTATTGTTCTGATGCTGTTGTCATTTATAGATTAACCTGTCTGGTTCCCTGTTGTAGTTTTTTTGGTTTTGCATAGTCTTTAAGAGTTCATTTCCTACGTGGGTATCTGGCTAGTACAATCCTGTGTCCTGTATTCACCCTGTGGTCTGACGTTTGTTCTCAGATCAAAGGACTCCCTTTAAAATGTCTAGTAAATTTGGTTTTTACATAGTCCCTTAATTTCTGTTTATCTGGATATGACCTAATTTCACCATCATATTTGAATGAGAGTTTTGCAGGATTTATTATTCTTGGCTGGCAATTTTTTTCATTCAAGGTTTTATATATGTCATCCCATTGCCTTGTTGCCTGCATGGTTTCTGCTGAATAATCCGAGCTTAGTCTTATTGTTTCGTCTCTGTATGTGACTTTTTGTTTTTCTTAGTTGCTCTCAGGATTCTTTGTCCTTGGTTTTATCGAGTGTGATTATGATATGCCTTTGTGATGTTCTTTTGGGGTCTGTCCTATATGGGGTTCGTTGAGCTTCTTGGATGGTCAGCTTTTCGTCTTTCATGATATTGGGGAAGTTTTCTGTCAGCAATTCTTCAATGATCCTCTCTGTGTTTTCTGTTTTCTCTCCCTGTTCTGGAACTCCAATCACTCGTAGATTTTTGCTTTTGCTAGTATCCCACATAATTCTCAGGGTTTCTTCATTTTTCTTTGTTCTTTTTTCTGATTTTTCCTCAGAGTTGTATCCAAATGTTTGTCTTCAATTTTGCTGATCCTGTCTTCCATCATTTCAAACCTGCTCCTCAGCCCTTCTATGACACTATCCATTTCTGATATCTTGTTGTTTAT